TATAATTCACAACGATTTATGCAGTTTACTTAGAGTCACTACCGCTCACTTGACTCAATTATCTGTCTCTATATCTCTCTTTAATCTGCTATTTATTTGCTGGGCTTATATATTAACATAGAGGGAGCCTGGAAAAGACTAGAGTTGCCAAAAAAAGTCATGATCCTTCTAGAAACTCATGACGTATTACCAGGGTCACGTGACTTCCGCTGTCGTAACAGTATCCTGTTCTTGCCGCTACACATGCTCCTGAGACAGAACCGCCAACCACCGCCAGTAAAACAGCTTTGAAAACAAACAACAACACTCAAACAACCAACCTCGAGATAACTTCACGGCAGATACAAACCATGTTACCTGTATCAACCATGTGTGATGTCTCTACTTCTACTGACAGCCATATTTTTAATCCATGGGACCAGAATTGCCAAAAAGGACCGAAGAATCCAGACTAAAGACGATCAAGTTACAGACTACAAAAGATTGACAAAATCCACTTCAAAAACTTCAGACGCCCTACCAACCGAAACCTCCACATCACCCGTTACGGAAGATGTCGTTCCTTCGACTAATCAACCATAGGCCAATCCAGCTAAATGACGAATCTGGTGTACACAGCTCCACGTCGCCTCTTCACCCATCCAGCCTGTTCTAGCCTTCAGCCACATGAAATTCAAGCCAAGTAATCTAATACTATATCTTATTCCACAGCTTCTACCGGGCTACTTTTTTATCAACGATTAGTGGGATTGAATGTCACTTATAACGCCCTCACGGCTGAAAGGGCGAGCATATTTGGTGGGACGGGGATTCGAACCCGCGACCCTCAGATTGCGAGCCGAGCGCCCTAATCACATGGCCATGTCAGGCCAAGTGCCTTTATTGCCCACTGCGGACGATCATGGTTGTGATGATTTGTAAACTCTAAATCATTCCAATAAATTTACTTTAAGTATTTAATCTTTCCTTATTGCCCCCCATTGACACAGCGGGATGTCTGCGGATTTACAACTCTAGAATCCGTTCGTTCTATTGAGGCGACATCTGTTAAAAAGACAATTATTGAGAGTGACGTCATAATTTACCAAATTTTACCCAGAACGCTGTTCACTGTTCAGTGAGGATGGTTGTTAATGGCGACCCACCTCTAGCGTAGAAGATGGACGATGGTCCAGTTACTCAAAATACCTCAGGTCAAATTGGTTCTTTAGGAACAGGAGTTGGTATCGTAGCTAAAACAAACCAAGATGAATACAATCAACGGCCTCACTATTCAATACCTGGTATTTTACATTTTATTCAACATGAATGGGGGAGATTTGAAACGGAACGAACCCAATGGGAGGTGGAGAGAGCAGAGCTTCAAGTAAGTTAAGTTTAATTATTCAAACTTTCTCAGTAATGGTTTTTAATAATTGATATACCAGTTGATACTAGAGCTCATATTTGTAAGAAATAAAAGTAAAACAAAACGTATAAAAAGAAGTTACTTTTCGTAACACTTTAACAGAAAATCAGCTTTTTCAATTTTTTCAGCAAAATCAAAATGACAAAGTTCATGGAAAGTTTTTCTTTTCGATCGTAAACCGATAAAGACAAAATTAAAAGAGTCATAGAAAACGTCATTTTTCAGAATTTTAATATGGATATTGGTTTTTCTAACTATGATTGGTAAAAAATCCAGGCACTGCATTGACACAAAAACTGAGAATTTATAATGTGTCAAATTGTTCTCCAATATAAATCCAGTAATACTTCAACTTTAATAAATTAACACTGAATGTTTTGGAATTACAGTACTTTACATTGAAAGCTAAAATAGGGAAACTATATTTGATTTTGAGGACTATATTTTACTTGAAACTATTGTAAAATAACTGATGATGAAGACATAACTAATGAGTAATGGGTAGATTTAATTAACTGGTAACTACAATCTTTAGATGTAAGTAGCAAATACATTTTGCTGCAGGTTCACTTCAATTAAAATCTTTATATATAGTCTTAAAGTAAGATAGTAATTTGTTTTATAATTTTATGTTATCAGGCTCTCATAAAACCTGTAGAAACATTTTTGGGAATTAAGCAATAATATGTAATGAAAACAGTTACTGAAATTTTGAGTAACTTTCCCATGATCTTGTATGATACTGTTTTTCTTAAATTTCTTATTCTCATTTTCATTATAAATATAGAAAAATATTTCATCTCTAACATGTATATTCTTGTAAAATTTACATGTTCAAATCATAAACTGAATTAATAGTCTGTAGCATAGATCAAGAATAATAACAACGTCTGATAAGAGTAAGCTATGTACGTAAGAATGAAACTAAAAATCAACTTGGTTAGAGTATAACTAATTAAATATTCTTTTATTACATTTCTGCTTATAAAGATTAAGATGCATTGTTTCATCATTTCGGCACCCTCACTGTTAACAATATTTTTACCCATAAATCCAATAATATTTCATAAGGTTCAGCCAACTTAGGAGAATTAGACTAGTTCTAAATACTAAACTAACAATACAAGTGAAATACTAACTAGTATAACCAATATTATCAATGAAAGCAACAATAAATAAACAAAACAGCATATTTTACTTAGAGAAACCACAAACACTAGTTGTTGTTTTGAATCACAGTCATTTATGTTTATTTGTTTGGAATCTTCCTTTCTTTCTCTTTTGATATCACACTTTACAAAAGAAAACTTATTTTGGCACCCCAACTATATAATATCAGAGACCATTAATCCCATACATTTTAGTTTAAATCAAGTGTGTCAGGCTGGTAGTGTCAACTTTCCCATGGCACAAACAAAAAAACAATGTTTAATGAAATACAAAATAATGTATAATAAATAAAATAATAGGTGATATGAACATTATAATATAACAATGTTAAATGTAATCAGAAGAAAATAACTAGCTAAACTTAATATGTAGTTTGTCTAATAACTTTTTATCACCAGTATGGCTTAAATATCTCCTGTAACAAACACTTAGAGATAGCTAAAGGAATTAATATACATCATTCAATCTTCTTTAAAAGCCAAAAATGAAAACATGATAAGTATCTTTAAATATGAAAGTGCCACAAAAATGACACACTGTATGTACAAATACATGGCTTCTAATATGATAAAGAAAATAAATATAAAAACTAAACAATAATGTAATGTCAAACTTAGCTAATATTATCTATTATGATAATTTAATGGTTATTAAAACCTGTTTACTATTACCCCAAACAAAATCCTAAGGAGTCAAAGTGTAGATGTGAAAGTTTTAAAAAGGTTGTGATACTCTGTAAAACTTGTAAACCTATAATCTTTAGTAATAACATTGCTGAATATTCCAGAGAATTAAATGAATTTTGCATTTAATTTTTTGAATTGAGAAACCTTGATTATGAAAAATGCCAGTGAGTTTCTGAGTTCTATCCACAAAATATTGTTATGTTGAACAAGTTCTATTATATCTAATAAGCTGAGAGTATTAAACATTTAACATAACTTGTTTGGAATATTTGTATTTGGGAATGAAAAGTTTATAACATCAAAGTTGAAAATATCTTTTTTATTGAAAACTTTAAAATTTAAAGTACAATTAATGATGGTGATATCTAAATATACATAGTTTGCTTTATTTTAAGTGAATGGCAAGGGTTATTTCAAGTGAATTATTTTATAACATATTCTTGATCTTCTGATTTGAAGCTAATACCTGTCAGTAAGAGATACCATAGGTTCCTTTACTGTACTTAGAAAATACTTGTGTTGTTATGAAATGGATATTTTGTTTATTTTGAAAAGCATTTTAATTAAAACTGTGTAGATATTATGTCCATGCTTAAGCTGTCATTTTATGAATAGCAATATCCATTAAGTAAAATGCTGAAAAATGTATGTAACCTTTTGAAACACTAACAGTATATTTTTTCTTTTTGACCTGACAGGATTTTCTGCTGTTAAAATTACTTTTTGTGTGAGTGAAAAAGCTTGCACAGTAAGATTATAGTTGCCTGTTTGATTTAAAATATTCCTTTTTTTTTACAAAAGTATAAGATGAACCAGTTTATACTCTAATAGTGATTGAGGAATCATACATAATTTTAATTGCTCAGCTATATCTCTGAAATTTGCATTAGAATTACCATATGGTGGATCCCAACAAATTACATCAAAAGCGTCATTAGTTGTATTTCTGGCTTGAATTATAGTGTAGATGAATGTGATTTCTATTTATCTATAAGCTTTTCATCCAAAGATCATGGTAACACAAAACATATTGTCACTACAACAGTAGAAAAGAAAACAACCTCATGCATACACACACACATTGTGAGAGTAAACTAAAATTCGGAAATATTTTAATCTAAAGATAGATCCACAACCTGGGATTAATTGTAATATTTTTTTGCAGAAAAAATAAAAGTTGGATATTTTTAATTAGTAGATGTACTTGTGTAAACTGATACACTTTTTTATTTTGAACAAGTGTAATTAATTCTGAACCACAAGATTGAGTAAGGGGCATGGTTGATGATGGCAGTGTAACAGCAATGATAGGAAAACATAATATAGAGACGCAGATTGTAGATAAGCATACAAACCAGGAGAACCATACAACCTTCACCTAATTGCCTTTCTAAGTTCAAGGCCAAAATAGGGGAATTTACTTGCTGATATTTATAGCCTTTCAAAAGTTATACAAGTTTCCATTCATGATCAATATGAAATGTAATCAGAAGAAAACAGTTAGCTAAATTTAATATGTAGTTTGTATAATAACTTTTTAGCACCAGTCTGACTTAAATATCTCCTGTTCTATGTTTGGTGTTCTTATATATATATATATATATATAAAACTGTCATTCACATTACAAACATGAACTTTACCAATCATGCATTCTTGATTGCTTAGAATGAAACACAGAAGCTGTTGCTAAATATATATATATATTGTGAGAAATGGCTAGTTATTGATAAAACCTGTGTTTGTCTATATATATATATATATAAATATATGAATTAGTATTATACATGTTGATGTTGTTAACTTTGTTGTTCAGACTTTTTTCTTAAACACTACACAGATGAGAGGGTACTCAATTTTAAGTACCTATCTTTAAAAAATAAATAAATAATACAAAGGCGATGAAAACAGAAAAACAGCAACAAATTCTAACAAAATCTTTAGATGATAAATTTTGTTAGCACAGTAGGTAAATAAATTGCACAGGAAATTTAAAAAAAGGTAGAGATGCAGAAAAAACTAAACATAAACAATTGATTTGGACATGGAGTTGCCACGTTAAATGTATTTTATGTGAATAAAGCTAACACCAGATGGTTGCTGGCAAGAAGTTGGCCAGCTGTGTGGGCTGTGCACGTGCTTTCGTCACCCTCATGTATTATACGTCCCTTATCTTGCATTACCACGCGTCACTAGCGTTGCAGTCAGTCAGTTTCATGGCAAGTCATACTGGATCTCATTAGGCACACTTCGATAATCTGAGCACCCTTTGTGACTGTATGCATGGCTTGCACTGTTTTCTATATGTGAGCCCTAGTACATTGTAGATAATTACATAATGAGATACGAATGAGTATGTGACATAAATGTCATATAACGCTGTTTTATGACCAGCAAAAGACGTGTTTATATATATATATATATTGTTTATAAGGTCACACTTTATACATATGCAATTTTCTTTTAACGAGCAAAACAAAGCAAAATAAAATCATAAAAAAACGCCTTTTTATGTTTAATTAAGCTACCTAAGTATAGCCAAAAGTTAACCCAATAATGTTTGTTTGTTTTTGAATTTTCGCGCAAAGCTACACGAGGGCTATCTGCGCTAGTGGTGATGACTAGCTGCCTTCCCTCTAGTCTTACACTGCTAAATTAGGGACGGTTGGTAAAAGAGTAGCCCAAGAGTTGGCGGCGATTAGTGGGATTGACCATAACATTATAAATCCTCTATGGCTGAAAGAGCGAGCATGTTTGGTGTGACGGGGATTCGAACTTTCGACCCACAGATTGCGAGTCGAGCGCCATAACCACCTGGCCATGCCAGGCCTGATGGTTACAAGGTCAATCAAATCGACCAACACCAATATATAGCTAGCATTGATAAAATAACAGATTGAATAGAAACTTTTATTTAAAAAACGTTTTATGATTACCTAGAAGGGCATAGAGATTATATGCAAATGAAACTTGACAATTTTCAGATAAAGAAAAGTATTTTTATTCTTAAAATCAGAATTGTTTTGCATGTTAGGTAGTCAACATTCTGAAAGTAAAAATTCACGAGCAGATTTTTAATTATAAACAACAACTTTATTTAAAAA